CAAGAAAGTACTGAGAAAAAAAGTGTTCTCAAACTATTAATAAAAAAGATGAGAAAAGTTCAGTGACATGCCTACCAAATAGCTTTCTTTTAAACTTTTACAGAGTAGGTTTTATTTATTATGTCTACATTGAACAAATCAAATTCTGAATTGTCTTATAATAGGAATGAACTTTGTTGATTCCTTTCTACAGAGCTGAACCTACTGTCAAATCCTGACAGTGAAACATGACTAGAACATAATCAACTTCTAACCTAAAACCTTTGGAACTTCCTGTTCACACTCAAAATGCATTATTCTCATCAAACTGAGACCTGGATTTCGCAAGGACAGGAGTTCTCTACAACCCTAACTTACACACAGCTGCAGAGCTCACTAGGTGAAGGTCTTTGGCAAATGTTATATGAAAATGTTACATGAAACTCATGTGTATGACCTCAATTCTCTGCCTCAAAGTGTATCAACACATTTAGAGAAGGACATAATACTTTCAATAAAAGCTCATGAGGCAAGCTACAACAATTACACATCTCAAGAAACACAATGAATACTTAGGGGAAAAAATAAATGTGTGTTGGTAGAAACTTTTTTCAGGATTGCTGAGACTCAACCAACAACCACTGCATTAATTCTGTGGTGTTAAACCAGCTGTACAAGAAGCTGTTGACTGTTGGGCACTGACATTCCACACCTACAAAAAGGCAGTGGTGAGATCTTCACTGATCTAAAGCTGAAGCAGGGTCTTCATCTCTGCTCCTGCTATAGGAGACACTCAAACAACTTTGTCACGTGGACAATGCAGGGAAGTTTGGCAAACCATGCTGTCAAGTCATTCAGACATGCACATGAAATATTGAGGTCCCAGTTGCATTCTTAAGAGAATTTTAAAATCACTACAGTTATTTAGTCAGGATATTACAGAGGAAAAAAAATCACAGGGCAACAACGTGTTCTTAATGCTATTTTTGATCAGTATGACTCACACTTAGACACTCACATAGAAATATGTGGAAGAAGAAGATTGGTCAGGATGGCTTCAACATATATTATTTATCCTAAGCATAATAAGTGTTGTCACAAACATAATCAAAAATCAAAGAAACATTTAAATTGAGCAAAAGTAAGCACCTTCACATACAAAAGCCAAATATGCTTACTCTCCTTGACTGTAACATTAAATGTTATTAAATCTTGGTGGATTTTTTTAGAAGTTATTAACTTTGCTACATCTTCCTATTATATCTGAATTAACATCTTTAAATAATAAAGGAAAAAAAATCTGTTTTAAATCCTTGGTACGCATCATAAATGCCCATACTTATTGATCTAGAGCCATGGAACAAGGATAAAACATCAAATAATCGCCTACTACACCCTTGGAAGTTTTTTTGCAGTTTTTCTATTAGTACATACTAGTGATTTGCCTAAATAAATTTCACTTATAAACTCTTATAGGGAGTCCAGAATGTTGTTCATAAAATTACCCAAGATAAATGTATAGACCAAAACTTCAAAGATTAATTTTTATGCTAAGAAAAAAAGAAACAAAAAGTTAACTTTCACATTCAATGTTTTAGTATTTGCTGGTAGGTTTTGGGTTGGGTTGGGATTTTGGGAGGCTTTTGGTGGTTTTTTTGGGGTTTTCTGTTGTTGTTTCTCAGTCTTTTATTTCTAAACAGCTTGAATCAGCTTTTCCAGCTATTGTGTAACTTATCTTTAGAAAGTAATCTTTTCTATACCACAACAACTTGTTGCCAAGAAGAGTAACTTGTGCAACACATTTATTTACCAAGAAGACCCTGTGATCCTGGGGAAGTCTCTTCCGTACAGCAAAAAGAAAACACGTTGGTCGGCAAGCAAGTTTCTCACTGAAACCACACCTTTCCTCACAAGCAATGCAAAACTTCCTGAACTACATGTTGTGCTAGAAAGCACCCTCTGCCTCTCCCATGGTATTCTTATTGGGCCTATCCTAACAGAATGACAATCCTGGAGAGCAGAAATTGATCTAATGTTCTAGAATAATTTGAAAGGGCACATAAGTTGGCAATCTTTTCTTATAAAAGACAGTACTTCAAAAAGAAGCAAGTTGTAAAGTTCATACAAATACTGAAAATAAAAGCAACCTTTTAACTTAAAGCTCACAGATGCATACATTTAACCATTCCCTCTTTTTGAATGGCTACTGTAGTTCACAAGGGGAGTACTGCACATTTTGAACAGAATGTTTATTTTATTAGTTGGAAATAAGCGAACAGAAAACTTTTGTTACATACACAACCAAACCCCCTACAAAACATGCAGCCATAGCATGGTGTGTTACTTTCACACAATTTCACACAATTGTGTTACTTTCAGGAAATAAATTCATTTATGCATTATCCATATCAAAGTGAAAGTATGGCACATGAAGTTTTCAGTCAGCGCATGTCCACGCTCTTTCACCCTCCAGTGTGGACTAGAGTAAGCAGCATGCCCAAGCCATGAAATCTGCCTGAGAATATTGGGTCTCTCTTTCAAAACTGAAGGAAAGCTAGGCTACCATGTTGCCAAGTCCACATCACCTGTTGCATTAACAGTGCAAAATGAAACTGTAAGCACACAGTTACAAGAAACTGTATCATCTTCATACTCAGAACAGCACAGAAACTTCAAATGCATTTTAACACAATCCACTTCAGTAATGCTTCATCATTTCCAAAACAATTGAGTATTTTGAAGTTATTCAGCAAATAATACTTCTTGGGCATAGAAATTGTTATTCAGTAGTTCTCTTTAAACTGGGAAAACCTGCACCCATAAAGTGAAAGAACACACAATCACTAGGAGTTAGGCAAATATCAAGTAGTCTGAGGGATCTTTTTGTTATAATAGAAACTTCAGATATATGCTGTTGCAAAATGCAGTAGGAAGTCACGATTCGGTTTCTGGTCAGTGTCTTGCACACAGAACCTTGGATTACAAACAACTGCAAAGCTCTAGTGAGTGGTTTTGAGGCAAACTTTAAAAAACACATCAGAGTGTTTTCCCTTTCACAAAGCATTTGTTCCAATGTCAAACAGTCAACAATTTCCAGTACATATCAATGCTACCCAATCCTTATAACTGTATCTATTTGAACTGGGGCAAAGTTAAAACTAGTACCTGTCTGAATTCTCATCTACCTCCACTAGAATAGCAGCATTTTGCTCAAAAACAGATGACCCGCCCCCAAAATGCAGAGCAAATGAGGGAGTAGAATACTGAAAGACTACTTGTGAACCTATTTATGAAACTAAGGAGATTACTGAATCCATTCAAAACTAGTTAGAGCAATGCACAGAATAAACTGTCTAAAACAAGACAGTCTTGTTAATGTTATCTGTGTTTACACACACACCATGCACTCACATCAGACTGAAAAAAAAAAGAGTTATTCAAACATTACACGTAGCCTTCTAGGAAACAGAGGCATCTTATCTCTGAAGTTTTTCTTTGGCCCTTATTTGAACTTGACTTACTGGTTTCATCCAACCAAAATATATCCACGTGGACTATAAAAAATTAGTAATCCAATCCAATTAAAGATATTGGGGTTCACTTATAGGCTCCTACTAAATTAAAATTAAAAAATAAAAAATCAAAACACCAAAACCATATAGTCCTACAAACTTAAGCAGTACCCTTACTTTAAAAGCCAAAATAAGCTTCCTTCTCTACCTCATGTACTCTCTTTCCATATTCCTGTAAACAAGCAGACCTTGCCTATAGATCAGCTGGCAGGAGATCGTGCTTAAAATGTTACTTGTCATAAGTTAAGGTCTACTTATCTGCATGCTTCTTGCCTTGAGAAGTAAAGCCCTCTATGTGCAAAATGCAGGGAACCATGTTTAGCAAAGTTGCAGTAAGATCTAAACAAACATTAGCAGAAGAGACTGCTCTATGTTTCTTCAGTACTGAAAAAAGTTGGCAGTGCAGGTATCAGACACATCATAATTTTTGTAATAAAACCCTTCAACAGAAACTGGGACACGTTTTCATAAAATTTATGAGATGATGTAGACATATACAAGGAGCGAGTCAACTAACAACTACATTAAAGAAAAAAGCAGAACTAGAATAAAGGTCAAGAGAGATTAAATTGTTTATCCTTTCCACCCACAGGAAAACAAGATTTCTCTTTTTTTTTTTTAACATTTAATCAACGTATCATGAGAGAACGTGAAACAGTCCTTGCTATTTCACGTCTCTTGGATTCCCATCCAGAAGTAAACTAAGAAGCGGTGCCCATACAAAGCAACCCCGCAGCCTATAAGCCCGGTAGCGCTCGTTACATCACGATCATTTGCATTTAAACTACAATATATAGCGCTGCGATCTGGCTGCCGAGGGGCTCCGCGCTGACCCCCTGCCAGGCAGAGCCGCTCGCACCGTGCCGGGGATGGGGGGCTCCGCCCGGGCGCGCCCGGCCTGCCCCGCTCCGCCCCGCGGCAGCACCTGCCGGGACCGGGCCCGGGCAGACCCCGCCGCAGGCCCGGCTCGGCCCGGGGCAGCCGCCGGTCACCCGGGGCAGCGGGCTGCGCATCAACTTTTGCATGTGGGCCGCGGCCTCCATGATGGCCGGGGCGGGCGGGGGGGCCGGTTTGTTTACTTGCAGCCAGAGCCGGCGACGGCGGCGGCAGCATCAGCAGCATCATCATCATCATCATCCCCATCCCTTGTGCGAGGCGCTGCCACCGGCGGCCCGCGGGGCGCGGAGCTATTCTTAGCGCAGGGCTGCGCGGGCACACACGCGCGCACACGCGGGCACGCTCGCGCACACGCACAGAAGTTCCCAGCGGATAAAATCCCGCGCTAGTCCCGGCACCGGCGCCCGCCGCACGGACGCGGGGAGGGGAGGCGGGGAGGGGCCCGCCGCCGCGTGGGAACCACCGGCCCCGCGCATCCAGCGCCCCCGGGGCGCACGCCCTGCCCTGCCCCTGCTGCCCCCCCTCCCGGCCCCTCCCGCCCCGTACCTGCAGAGGCGGCGGCGCCGCGGGCGCTGCTGCGGAGCCCGAGGGCGGCGGCGGCTTCGGGGGGAGAAGGGGAGGGAGGGCGCCGCTGCCTCCTCCCCTGTCCCCCCGCCGGGCTCGGCGGTCCCTGGCGGCCGGTGTCTCCGCGGGGGCGGGAGGAGGCGGCTCCGGCCCCAGGGCGCTGGCGGCGGCGGCTACATGGAGCTGCGCGCCCCGCTACGCAGGGAGGCGCCCGGGCGGGCAGCGCGGCCGCAACATCGATGCGCGGGGTCAGGAGGGCGGCGGCGGCGGCGGCTCCCCCCCGGCGCACTCACCCCGGAGCCGCCCGGGCCCCGCTCTCGGCTCCTCCCGCCGCCTCCGCCGGGCTCGTTATTGACTTTCAGGAAAACTCCCGACGTCACCGGCTCCCCCCGAGTGTCTCCCCCTCCGCGGCGGTGGCGGCGGCGGCGGCGGCATCCCCGGCTCTCGCGAGAAGCGCGGCGGGGACGGGGGGGCCGCCAGACAGCGCGGGGGGAGCCAGACAGAGGGGGGCGGCTGAGGTGAAGGAGGAGGAGGGAGCGGCAGAGGGAGGAGGGAGGACGGGGGAGGCGAGGCAGCCCGCCCGCCCGCCCGGCTGGCAGGCAGGGGCGGGAGCCGAGCGGAGCGGCGTGTCCCGTCCCGCCGCCGGGCCGCGGGTGGGAGCGGGAGGATGGATGGATGCAGGCAGCGGCGTTTGCGGCGCTACGGCGCGCCGCGCCCGGGTCTTTCCTTTCGGCATCGCGGCCCCTCGCCAGCCCCGTGTGCGCGTCCCGGGATTAGTTCCCTTTGTTCTCGCACTCTGCAGTTACACAGCCCCCCGCCCCGAGCTTGCCCTGGTACCCGGAGTGGTCCACTCGGCTCTGCAAACTCCTCCAGGAATAGAACTACCAGTTACGCCGCAGGAAGCCGTAATTCATCCCTCGTTGAAGTGTTTAGTGGATGCGCCAGCCTCAGTGTTGCTAAATTGTCTGCAGGCTTCGCCGGGTAAATAAACACCTAGAGAAAGCGTAGACCGGCGCTCCCGAGCCTCTGACTCTTCCCGTTGCCACGAGCACTGTCGGAGCGGAGCCGGGGCAGCAGAGCAGCCGCGCTGCAGGGTGCTGAGCTCTCCCGGCTCGGCGGAGCTGCCTCCGGGCTGGCAGGCCGGGGATGCCCGGCCTGCTGCGCCCTGCCGCCGCCGCCGAGCCTGGTCCTGCACCCTGAGCAGTGCCTGCGGTTCATTGCCCTCGACGCTTTGTTCCACGGCTAAGCGGCTGTGTGTGGGTGCTTGCGGGAGTTTACTGCACATGAAGATGTCTTCTATCGCTTAGGGTTGCAGATATTAATTTTCTTTAGAAATGCATCTGTTTATAATGCAGTTCACACGGGCCTGTGTCAGAACCTGTTACTGCAGAGGATAAATAGGCATTTTGGATTGCTTGAAATGCAGCTATCTGCTCTGTTTCATCAGTGCAGTTTTTTTTTGTAAAAAATGCGCGTTCATCGAAATTACATTAAAAAAAAAAAACAAAAATTTTTCTCTAGCATGAATTTCACCTTTAATTTCTAAGTTTTTCTTCCTCTCACATCCCATCTTCTACAACTCTTTGAAACATCATTCTCTGTACCACTACAGGGCTTCAGCGAGATTTTTTTGGGAATCTAAATAATCATATGAGTTGGCACAGGACTGGAAATTTGCCTCCGGGGGCACTGAATCCTTTCCCTGCTGCGGCAAGCAACCACACTAATAATCCCATTCATAAATATGCTGAGTTTCCTCTTAGAACTATGAAGTTTGTTTGCTTCACTGTGCTCGCTAGCAGGCTACAACCTAAGCTCTCTGTCCCCCTAAGTCTGAAGAAAAACAAAATTTATACTGTATTTGATTAATGCATCTTTTTGAAAAATAAGTTAAAAAGAACCTTGCCAAGCATTACTTTCTTTCCCAGAATTTACCGTTCGGTCTTCCTCCTTCTCAGAAACACTTTAGTAAAGTGAGCATCTTATTAACCATCAATATTCACAGACAACCATAGTATCAATTATTAAAATGTGTTTATTCCCTAATGTCTCCTTTGATCATTGCTACTATGCTGCTCCTGAAAAACGGAAGGTGTAGGTCTTGGAACTTGCTTTCTGTTTGCTGCAATTCCTCCGAAGGGCTCAGAACCTAAGGCAGCATGAAATCTGCATGGGCAGTAGCTGATAGACTGCCAATCAACTGTTCAGGTGCCAAACGCTGAGTGTGAAATCCGGGCCCACAGAAAGTCCTGGTATTTGGTATCACTCAGGTTATTCCTGCTCTGTGTTAATCCCTGTCACTCACAGCTGCAAATTTCTTATTAATAAAGTATGTGTGTATGGTTGGTCATCCTAATTGATGCCTGCAAATCTTCAAAAGCCAGCTATGAAGTACTTCCCTTATGATGACAGTAAGTTTGTTTACATTTATAGATACTTGGTGTAAATCACCTAAAAGCACATTTATGTACTTTTTAAAAGAAAAAACCACTTGCACCATGCAAAGAAAAAACCCACATTAAATAACATTTACCTACAAGGAGAGTTAGTCTTCTGCACTTTTATTTTGTTACTAATTGCTGAAAATGAAACAGTGGGATGAAATCTGTCATGTTGATCTGGAGCTTAAAAATGTATTTTTCAGCAAAATCTGATTAGTAAAATTTTGTTTTATCTATGTTATATAGACAACTATTCACAGGTAAAAAAAATTTTTATTCAGTATGACTTTGAAATCAGATTCACTATCTTACTCCTTATAAATCAAGTATCAGCGCTCTGTTTTTGAAATTCATATTTTCTAGTTACTCTTAAGTTTTTGATCCTACTCAGCCTCATATATTGACCTCAGTGTGCTGAATCTAAACTGATACTTTTTATATGGATTATTAAATATACTATATAAATAAGTGCTGCTGTGCAATGATTTTTTTCTCTCTATAGAACATATAATAATTTTATTCCTTAGTATCATGCTTCGAGGCTTCAAAATGATTTCTTGTAAGGAGTTAATCGCTGTAAATTGGGCAGAAATGACCCCTTGATTAATAACCAAACAGAGGTATACCTCTTTCAGAAATAAAATGGCTGTGATGTACATACTGTGAACATAATGAGGTTGTAGGTTCTGCAGAAATGACATAATTTTCAGATTAATTACAATGTGACATGAATTTAATGAACATATTAACAGCATATGCTAATGAAGAAAGTATTGAGTTCACGTGAGAAGGAGAATAAGGCTGCATGTAATTTCAGGAAAAAATGGGAACCTCTGATGTTACATGTTCCAATTACAGCCATGAAACCAAACAAATAAAACCCATCCACTGTCATCTATCTGGCACCATCAAGAAGCTTGACAAACTTTTATATGATCACTTGTAATCATTATTTCAATAGAAACCAAAAGGAAAACCTGCAGATAATCTCAATATAAACCTGTCCATTCCAAGGCAAAAAAGGGTGTATCTCTTGTTTCACTTAACATGTTCATGTTAACTATTATCACTAGCAGAGTGATAGGTCTAAGATTACAGAGATTTACATCCTGAAAACAAATAGTTAAATAGGAGAGAAGATTCTGCCTGCAGAATCAGTTCTCTCTGCCTCTACGGGTAGCATCGCCTTCAGTTTAATTTTGTTTCTTGTTTCTCATGTCAGCTAATAAGCTTGCTTCCATGTAAGAATGCATAAAGCAAAACAAAACAAAACAGTAGAAATCAAGACAAATGAAACAACTTGAAGTGTAGAAGTTTCATTAAAAAAAAATAAGAAGAATAAAAAATGGACAATGGGTCAGATGACAATCTCCGGTGTTAAACTCCCTGTTACTGTCTGCCTTGTTGTTTGAAAAGCACACACAAATGTCAGTGGAAACTAACAGGAGAGCAATGAAATTTGCTCTATGGAAAATGATGCTTAAAATATATGTTATGCATTTCTTTACAGTGAAGTTAAAGTCTTGCTTGCAAAAGTTATGGCTTATTTTTCAGTTATGTGTGTAGCTCTTAAAAACCTGAAACACCTCAATTAGTGAAGTTCAGCTACTTCAAGGGGTGAACCTGTTCAGCTTCTGTTGAGCTCTGACTCTGCATTCTCTGTACTGCTGTGTGCACACAGACACTTCAGGACTTTAACCACTGCCATCTGCATTGTAGTCATCTCGTGGCAATTGAATTTCTAAGAACAAGAAAGAACTCATGGTAAAGCTGTGCAATTCAGAAAAGACGTGTAGGAAAAATATTGGCAGCGGATGTTGGAATCCGCTGGATACAAGGAGGAAACGGAACTTGTGGTCAGTTGAATTTTACAGTTCATATCTTTTCCCTTTCTGTTGCATTCACTTCTGAGTAACTTTATTGTTTTAATCTCTTGCTTCTTTGTCTGTAGTCTCTTGGCATTTATTTATTTAATTTTGTTATTTCTGCTCTGCAGCTGCCTTGGAGGGCAATATTCCACTCCATGTCCCCAGATACCTGTAACACAATTAGGTTAAAAAATTAGAGATCAATTTATTTATTTTTAGTATAAAAACAGTTGAGAAAAAAGCCCTCAGCCTGGACTCTGGATTTTGTGTCTGCACGCTGTTTTGCTACACAAGTCACCAGTTCCATGAAACTGCTTCTGCTCCAACATCAGCGGATGGCTGGGCTGGCTTTTGTTGCTGTCTGGCTCCTACACAAAATTTTCTGGATACAGAAAGTTCTCTTTTGCTCAGATGGTCACAATTCATCAGTGCTTACAGAAGTTAAGTCCTTATGAACTCATGTAGACATATAATCCTACTATGATTATTAATAGTATATTCATACTAGTATTATTAATGTAGACCTGCAGGTTGTAGGCTATCTGTGAATACACAGTAAAGCAAGATAGCAATAAAAAAATCATTCTGTCCACCTGTATATGGCTAGCAGTAATATAATTATGCTGAACACAGTAGAGACTGGATATAATCCTGTGTAAATATCAGTTGATTGCATTTATTTTGCAGCATGTTATTATTGCTTTATTATTTATCCTCTGAAGATTTTAAAAAGTGTTTTCCTTCCCCTTCTTTCCCATACTCCCACACACTGGAGGTCTACAAACAGTGTGAAAGGCACATGCCCTGCCCCAGTGACCTTAACCTGCTTTGAAACCAGATATGACGGTAAGGATAACAAACAACAGGAGAGAAGGATGGGAAGAGGGCAGTAAGATTACACAGTTGCACAGTTTAGCTATATGCTTAACTTGATGTATAGGCATTCAGCCGAACTTGGAAATTTTTTCTCTGTGAGAAAATAGTTTCCATGGTGCACAGATTTATCTGAGGGAGGTCAATCTACTACAGAAGCAACTTGGAAAAATTAAAATGCCAGCCCTTCCGCCTGAGATTTTTCTTCCCTCTTTCCTATCCTATTTTAATTTCAACACAGATAAAATATGTCTTTGAATAAAATTCTGCAATTACTACCATACAGTGATTTCTCACACAGAACCTTATCTGTGTCCTGGTCTCACTTAATTGAAGTCAATGAGAAAATGCCAGTTGAAGCTAGTTAGGAGGATCAAGTCAGTAATGCATGAGCAGAATCAAGGAGCACAAAGCTTAATGGACAGAGGAACAGAATTTTAAACAAATGTCTCCTCTTCAGAGGTTTTGTGACTAGGAACATTTTCCCCATGTGGCCCTGAGAGGATCACAGCAGCAGGTCTGCTCAAAGAATCAGGAAGAAACTGTTGAGGAGAAAGCTGGCTGTTGATGGAGACGAAGCCATCTATTGCCAGGTTTAGTCCAGATCTTTGCTTTTACTTGGAACATTGCTCTGTCTTTGGCAATTGATTAGCATGGTGCAGAGCCCCTTCCTCTTTTAGTGTGTTCCTTGGAGCACTTTTCTCTGCCCCTTGCTACCATGCAGACTTCACAGTGTGATTTGCTGGACAGCTTCCCTACTGTATCAATCACCTCGTTTGCAGCTGACAGCCCTCCATCTTTTCAATCTGTAAAAGAGTGGCTGAAGCACAAGGAAATCATTTCAGCGTCAACAAAAAAGTATTCCATTAGACTAGACTGTGGGCTACCCTCATTCCCAAACACCACCCTTGATCCATTATGTGTCGAAATGTACCTGCACTTTCTGGAAACAAAGATGTGACATGAAATCAAAGAATTAGCAGGAAAGTTTAGAAAATGAAGACAGATTGGGGTTGCAATAACAAGGACCTCCACAGATCTGATAAGTATGTTCTTGTTAATAATAAAAAAGAATGAGGTATTAAAATATTAATGGAGCATTCATTAATAGTCTTCAGAAATGAAGGACAGATTGCCTTGAAGACTTCACTTACTTTACACCATTTTGCCTGATTTAATTGGATATAGGC